CATAAAACTAAAGAATTAAGCACACAAATATATTTTATTTCACAACAGGTGCAATGATACTAATTATTCTGATACTGAAACGAAAAAGAGATCATCGCATTGTTGCTCCTGACACAAACTGCCCCTGCAGGCTCAGGTGTGTCGTCAAGTCTGAGGAACTTTAGTGCAGCTTTCGATCGATCAGGTCGAAGCTTTTCCACTCAAATAAAAAAATATGATGTCCAAAGAGCAAGTAAAGATGTTTATTTTTTCCCCCATGCTTTAATGTTGTCTCGTTTATGCTATTTTTATTTGGCTTAATTAAATTTCCACGATGCAAAATTTTGCTGTGATGCTCCTAACTGAGAAATATTTCTTGCATCCTGTTACATTTTAGCTGGATTTTCTCTCTGCCCACTAGTATTCCTGTCTTGTTGCCAAACTGATCCCAGAGCCACCATAACGCCTCTGTGGATTTACCGGATGCTGTAGAGCAAATGTGTGTCAGGAGCCATGTCTGAGTAGAAGAGGTTTGGCTCCCCTCCCCAAGTCAAACTGTTGCGTCAGTCAGTGTGTTGAGGCGGTCCTCACACAGCCTGACCTCCTTCAGCTCATCTCTCTCATCCTTTATCTCTCAGTTCATTTCAGATTTACCAGCTTTTAATCTCAATCTAATTCAAACTGCGTTTCAGCCGTAGGTTGTTTTCTGCTCATCCCTGCTAGAGGGGTTGTACTTTTCCTCCACTCGCTGTATGTGTGTATAAAAGGTAGATATAATAGAGCAGGGTCACTAATGGATGTGGCAAGGTTTTAATATGTCTAATGCAATAAAAAAAAAGGGGAACTCTGTGTTTAAAAGCCAAAGACTTTACAACAAAATAACAAAAAATCCTAAAACTACTTATCCTTAAATGTGCTACTTGTCACAGAAAACATTTCTATTCGATTTTGATTTGTCATCTGCTTCAACAAGGAAGCCGTCGTGTCAATCCAGGACGGGAAAATCCTCAATCTGACTGTGACGCAGTCCACCCACCAGAGCTGCGTTTACTGATGGCCCATCTGTCAGGCTTGAATGTTTGCTCAGAGAAAGAGACTGACATGGAATGAAGTCTGTTCCTTGTTCACATAGTGTAAACACACACATCTTTTGAAGTTTAACTAGAAATATGAGTGATTTATGAGGTGTCAAGCCTGTTAACCTGTTGATTGTTGTTTTTTTTTCTTCATTCAGTTAAATTCTCTTTGAGTTTTGAAACTGGATGCTCAGTTTAATCCCTCAGAATTTGGAGGTTGCATCAACCTAAAGCCTTATAATAAGGAGTAAATATTCATCCATAATACTCTCTGCTTTCTAATAAACAAAATTAACATGTAAAAATAGTTTTTACATTGCAAAAATAAATTTATCAAGTATTTTCACTGTTTTCATAAATGTAGGTGCTGTAGAGCCAACTATCACATATCTTAAATGTGTTTATGTTTACTGGAAACAATCACGGGAATGTTTTCAGATTTTGCTTCATGCTATTATCTTTGATGCACATTTATTTTTTCATCTTGTGGCAATTTAAAAAGTTTTACTTTGCATTTCTTTAAACATAGAATCATTCTCTTTATTATAAGTTGTGGAGTTTGAGATATTATTATTCATTTACAGTATTATAATATTGAATTAACTATTAACATTTCTTATGTAAAAGTGTTTCTGTGTGTGTAAGTTGTATTTTAATTAAATTTACAGTACTGAGCAAAAATTTTAAACCACAACTTTTTTGGCTTCCTTTCATAATGTCTTTGTACTGGTAATCTTTTCAAGAGATCTTGACCAATATTTTCAGATTTGTTTTTTAAATTTTGATTAAAGTGGGGAAAGTGGACAACAAAAGAAGTGCACTACTCAGTATATGAATGATACATCTTTACAAAATAGGAGGGAAAAGGTCATGCAAAGACCTGACTCAGGACTTGCTCTGATCTATGACAAATTCTCAACGACTACTGTGTTTCTTTAAAGAATCACCTATCTAATATTTGTTAAACCATGTTGGCATTACAATTTGTTTATTTTGACATTTTAAATTAAGGAGTGAAAGAAATTGTATCTTTGTTGCAGTACATGTATATAATTGGTTGTATGCTAAATTGTCTTATGTGACAACACAATGCTGGCTCATCCCTTGAGTTTAGCTTTTATGGGTCAGAGAGATATATCAAACAAAGTGATTGCTCAGATCCTGGAATGAAAATGACAAAAAAAAGGCAGAATAAAAAACACATTCAGAAAGCCTGAATATTGTTTAAAAAAAATTTTTTTTAATTATTTTACAGTATTTTCAACCCCTCAAATTCATTCTTACTCTCATGGTTAGTCGCTCTAATTTTAGTTAGGAAAAAAAAAAAACACATTAAATGGTCACGTGACAGAGGATAATCACGGTGTTGCCAGGTGTAGGTGTACGACCATAGTGGTGTTTATGCGCTGGTTGTAGGATTCTACACCATAGATAAATAGACGATAGTTTTGCATTTCCGCGCACCAGAATTTTTTGTTATTTATTTACGTGCAAACCCACATCACACACCCCCCCCCCCCCCCCATCCCATTGCTAAGCGAGAGAGCGCTTTCTCTCATCTCATCACTCATCCATTGTCAAAATGCGACCATTCTAAAGCGACGGTATGACGTTTCGTCATGTCGTACCTGGCAACTCGTAATAATACGGATTAAGGGCTATCCCCGGCGCGCGCCTGCCAGGACTCAACACAAAGTGGATGCGGCGCCGACTCTTCGTCTACTTCGGACATTCTAACGTCGAGCAATCACCACAAGCCTAACCACTGTCTTCATGAAGTGACCTGTCCGTGTTTTTAGCGTGGGTTGAAAGATGATTTCTCCGTGGGACCGGTGGTACTCGACGAGCTGCTGCCTTTGCTGCCACGTACGGACGGGCACCATTATTCTGGGGGTATGGTACACGGTGAGTCCAGTTTTTCAGCCCGCCTTCAAATATGAACAAATGAGCCCAAGTGTGTGCAAATATTCCGTAAATACTAATTAACATTGAGTTTCAGAGAGATTGCTGCTGACTGCACCTGCTTTTTGATTTCGGATGCTGTCGACATCCTGTTAGCTTAATAATATTCATCAACATTTTACTTTCAAGACTTGATTCAAGGCCATGGCATAGAAATATACTCTAACAATCAAGCATGTTTATTTCAATTTAAAGTCATAAATATTTAAATATAACATAAAAGATGCACTTTATTGACTAATTTGTTACATTTTCTAACCTATTCTGTTAAATTTGTCGAACATTTGCTCGTAGTTCAGTAACCCCAGACCTTTTTTGTCCTTTTTGACCTTTAACCCTACAATTAATCAGCCCTGATGAGCTTTTTGTTTCTTAAGAAAAAACACATTGCATTAAGGAGGAATATTTAAAAAAAACAATCCATATATGGTAGTTTTGGTTTTTATATGAAGAATTTTGAATATTCTGGGTGAATTTAAAGATCAAAAATTTAATATTGGTTGTTGTTTGTTTGTTTTACTTAAAGTTGCCTCAAGGTGAGGGGAACACAATTATGTTAATGCATTATTTGATTAAAAAGATAATTTTATAGTTATTTTTTTCATCCATCTATCAGTTTATCAGTCAATAAACTTCCGCCTGTTTCGAAGTCTGGTCACAGGGGCAGCAGTTTCAGCAGGGATGGCCAGACATCTTTTTTGCAGCCATCTTCCAGCTTTCTTGGAGGACTACAAGGATTCCCCAGGCCAGTCAGGAGGCGTAGTCTCTTCATTGTGTCCTGTGTCTTCTCCCAGTTGGACATGCCCAGAAAGCATTCTTTCTCAGCTCCCTCTTCACCACAACGGACCGGCACAGTGTCCACAGTACTGCGGAAGCTGCACAAATCTTCTGAGGATCTTACACCAATTCTTCCTTCACTGGTGAAAAGAACCCAGAAGTTCCTTCACTTGAGGCAGAACCCCAACGCAGAGGGTGCAGTCCAGCTTTTGTTACTAACGCTGGCAAAACACGAGCCACTGGACACAATCCACAAGGATCCTACAGTCTGGAAAAGTAGGCAGTTCTGGATAAATAAAGAAAAAGGAAATTGGCGTTCGAATAAAATATGGGTGTTCCAACTCTGTTATTGTTTTTTTTTTCTAGAAAACAAAAATCTAAATTTCCCATAGTTTCACATTTTAAAGATAAACATAGTAACCAAAATGTTCACTTTTGGTTCATACAGCAATAGGATTTCCAGCTTGCAGAAATTGAAAATGGAATTTAATATCTTTTGCTGCGAGATGCCTTTTATGTACTATTTTAATTTTTATCAGGAAAAGCCAACAAGCAACAGGTTCATGTATGACGACAAGTGAAAAAAGTATTAAGTCAAAGTTTCATTTTAGGTTGTAATATTTTGATCATTTTTGTTTCTTGGCCAAAAAAACATTTACTTAAAAACAAATAAAACAAAGCAATATAATGGGGAAAATTACATATTTTACAGTAGTAGCTAGAGTTTTTTTTTTTTTTTATATATTTCTACAATGTATGATTTTAGATCTCCAGTCATAATGCCTCATTTTACATTTCTTCTTTCAGGCTATTGATTGTTAAATTACAGTTTTATGAAAAACACATTTGTAGTTACTTCATTCTTTATTTGTCTACAAACCCACTCCAGTTTGAGTCCAAGAAGTGGTTTTTAAACCATATTAAAGTTTTAAAATGCTTTGTTAAAAAACTGCCTGACGGCGAACTCATTTTCCTGAGGATGGAATTAAATATTGATAAAGATTTTATTCCTCCCTTTAGATAATCAACTCAGTGGTCCTGCTCATCTTGTTGTCAGCTCTCTATGACCCGGTTCAGTACCGCTACCACCTCACCAGCTCTGAGCTGGGCACGGACATCGACGTCATGGACGATGCAAGTAAGACTTATTCGTGAGGAGGTTTTAAAATTGACTTTGTTGTTACTGGAATAAAATAAGAATAAGCTTGTAAATAATGTGAAGTTATACTAAAATGTTTAGCTGGGCTGGCTCTCAAAATTCAGATGTTTTATTTCCTGGTCTTTGAACGCACCATGCTATCAGATAGTTTACATTAATAACAGCTCATCTGCGTAGAAAGATTTACTGAGCAAGAAAAATCTAAAACTAACTCTTACGGTACGGTGTTGAATACAAAGCTAGAGGAAATAAAAGAAGTCTAAGAAGCCGCTAAAGGAAAACATACATTTCCTTCAGATTGTGAACTGATCGTTTTACTGTTTAATGAATGTTAACACATTTGTTTTTGTTTCTTAGTCATAGTTTGTGATGTGTTCAAGTTCAGCGTACTTTGTGAGACTATAAATAAAATAAAGACTTCATAGTTAAATTGTTAGAATTATTAAGCGGTAATTCGCCATGCCTGCAGCTGTAATGAAATTAATAAATGATTTAGCCATCTAGCACAACCAGCAGTACAATTAGTTGTATTTTTACCACAATTTTAAGATTGAAACTGCTGCAAATGCCCTATTGTCTTAAAGATGAAAAGGTTGAGCTGTAAACTGTTTGACAACTGGAATAAACTTTCATTTTTTCAGTCTGATTTGATTTGTCCAATAAGCTTTAGGTATTTTTTTGTAGATTTAAAACAACAGACAATAAAGAGGCCTGGAACCTGCTGCCTTTTTGGAGAAAATGTTTTTTTTTTTAATGTTATATTACAAACGCTGACATATTCTCTAATAAAAATATTTTCTATGCCGTCATTTAAAAGTGGAGGAATCTAAAACGCATGTATTTGGCATCAGCAGGTCAGAGGTTTACAGACTCGACTCTAATTTGAATACATCTCAAGGTCCTGCCTGAGAAATTAGGTGCCGTATGCGTGCTGTGTTCGCCCACATGTTTCTGCAGCTGTAAAATCACTTCTCTTTTGTGCCCGACACGTCTCGTTTTCTGAAAACGCTGCCCTCAGCTCAGACGCAGCTGAGTAAGCTTAGCAGCATGGAGAACAAATCAAAGCGCACGAGTATTTTCAGCGCTCCCCCCTACGGCAGCTATCATCGTCACAGTCGCCTCTGGACTTCAGACGCCGTCACTGGCAGCTGATTAAAAATGACTGCTCTAATTCTCGGATTAAAACGGCCATGTTGACTCACTCCCCGCCTAACGTGGCGTTTATACTCGTGCTGCTTCGGTCAAATGCTGTTTAAAAAAAAAATTCTCGTTTGTTTTTGTTTGAACACGACAATAAAAATCTGTTTAAATGACAACAAGGTGCACAGGTTCTAAAATGTTCAGTTTTCTGTTATTGTCATGCAAATCGTGTCCTGATCCTGACAACAACAGCATACTCTTGGATGTCCTACCTTTTCTTCTCTTTGTGGCTCTGTCGAGTGCTTCTGACAGTGATGAGTGTCTCATCAGTGAGACGAGAGGTTTAGTCAAATTTAGCACCTCTTGCAAACGGTTATCTTCGGTTCACGCATGCTAGAAATTATGAGATTACTTCCTCCTGTGGAGTTGGACGTCTGTCATATTTACCTCCATCATTTGAGCTGGCCGTCACAAATGACATCAACATTTATTACATCTGTATTTATAATTTAGGTCTTCAAGCCTATAAGTTTTATAATTTAAAGGGCTAACATCATTGTACTAAAACTAATGCTAAGACTTTTGTAGTTTATTTACCACTAATTTTCTTCTATTGGAAATATTCTTTTAAATATTTGTATTCCTCAAGACAACAGAATACCCATGTGTGGAAATATTGGATATTTGGAAATATTTGGATAGCTACCCTCTAATTCAGAGTTTATTAATTTTATTTTTATTTGCTCTTCTGCCATCAAAATAAAATCACCTACTGGGTATGGGTAAAAGCTTCAAAACGATAATCTGTTTACAGCATACTAAATTATATATGTTTTGAATGGAGATAATGTTCTGAACTTTTTAATTGTCTTAAAATATTAAACCCTTGATTTGCTTAATCTCCAAGAAGCAACAAAAAATAAAAGGTTTATGTGCAATGGACGGCAAGATGGTTTTCTTATTCAGTTTAATTGCCATAACTGCATGAATTTTAAAGTTTCATGTAAATTTTATTCATTTTATTTATTACGTTATTTATACATTTTATTGTCCTGATTAGGGGATGTGATTATCAATGACCACAAACCTCGTCCCCACAAAAATATAAGATTATATGAGTGGACACAATAATCCAGTCTGAATCTTTGTCTTCTTCTCTTCTAAACTTTGTTTTATTTATTTATTTATGTTTGTTTGTTTTTGACAGATATCTGCATAGCGACAGCCATATCATTGCTCATGATTCTTATATGTGGCATGGCGACTTATGGTGCTTACATGGTAAACACTCAAAACTAATTAGACCCAAACTCGCATCTGGACATAAGAATTTTATTTTATTTATTTCTCATCTAATCCTAATCTCTCCCGTTCGTAGCAACATGCCGCTTGGATCATTCCATTCTTCTGCTACCAAATCTTCGACTTTGCCCTGAACACGCTGGTTGCTATAAGCGTGGTGGTTTATCCCAACACGGTGCAGGACTACATCCAGCAGCTGGTGAGGACCATTTCATTCCCACTTAAACACCTAATCTGAATCATAAAGTCATGTTTGGGGTTCTTTTTTTTTAAATCCAAGACAAAATAGTACCAGTCTTTTACATTACATAAATCAAGACTGTTGCAGAAGACTGCTTGACACGATTTAGTTCCTCCGCGAAGCATCTGTTATTGAAACCAGGCCACCCAGGTACGAGTAAAAAGTCCTATAGTCGTATAGATTTGAGGTCCACTGAGGCCTCGTTTAGTGTTGAAGACTGAGGGGTCAAGCTCCAGCAGAACTTGAAGTCAGACAGAAATCAGAGTCTGCCTGCCCAAAACAATTGTTGTTTATATCCTGATGCATGCTCAATAATCCAGGTAGAAAAATCTAAAAAAGTTAAATTTGGTCCTCTGGAAGGTGCTATTTAAGAGAATGAGCTGAAAACAGCACCTCAGACTGAAGAAGTCTCTCGGACGAGAGACGAAACGTTTCTACATTTTTTGTTGTTTTGCTTTGTTTTGGGTTTTTTTGAATGTCCAGAGGATCAGATTTAACTTTTTTAAATTGTTGTTTATCTGAATCTGGCCTCGGACAGGACAACTTCTCTCACATTGCTCCTGGAGGATACATAAACTAGACCACCCCCCCCCCCCCCCCCCCCCCCCCCTGTGGTCTTATCAGAATCATGATGCTGATAGACACTGTACCATCTTCTCAGAACTTTGGAACTTTCTGGAGTGTTTATGGACAAATATGGACAAAAAAATAAAAAAATTCACTGCCTTTGTCGACCTCTATACATAAATATATTATGATGTCATTGTATGTTGCTGTTTATGTTGCGAGGTCTTTTCTTGCATCTGTTACACAGTTTCCCGCCCAGGACATGGTGTGAGACATGATTTTTATTTTTTTGGCTTCCTCTTTTTCTCATCTGCCTGTATGTTGTATATAACAGGTCTCTCTTGTAAATGAGGGTTCGAGGCTCAATGGGAACTAGCCTGTATAAATAAAGGTCTAATAATAATAATAAAAAAGTTTTAGTCAGTGGCTGATTTGAAAATAACCTCTCTTGTTCTGAATTACAAAATTTATAGAGCCTTCTTTATTACCTTTTTTTATTTTTCTGTTCTAGCCAGGGACGTTCCCATACAAAGAGGACATCATGTCCACTAACAACATGTGCCTAGTCTTTGCAGTCCTCCTCTTCATCGGCTGCATTCTCTCCTTCAAGGTAAAAATGTTGCATCTCTGTCCTTATTTGTCTCCCAAGTTTAGCCTTGTTTTGGTGTGGCTTAAAACTTCCACTAAAAACTATTTGAAAAATACTACTACATATACATGGGGATGCACGATATTGGATTTTTGGCCGATATGCCAATATGTTAAAACTTATTTGGCCAATAACCAATACAATTACAAATATTTTTCCCTAGACCTACTTACAGAGACTACATAGCTTTCTCTGCTGTGGAATTAAAACACTACATTATTCTGCATGATGAAAATGATGTAACACTTCAACTTGAATTATGTTTAATGTCATATTTATTCATGACATTTACTCTCTAACACAATGACAACACTTGAACAGTGCAAATTTGTACATTTTCACAAATCTGAACTCAACCTGTTAACTTAAAACAGCACCTTTTTATATCGGTGAGTTATTTTGATGGAATTGCCGATATCCGATATTTACATATCGCTAATATCGGCCGATACCGATAATGTGCCGATAATATCGTGCATCCCTAATAAAAAGTACTAACTGTAAATCTTATGTTTTCCATGATAAAGCTTGTAATTAAGGCAGTTTATTTCCGCCACTGAAAGAATGAAACATATGGCGTTTATAATGAGACTGCCTGTGTGGAGGTTCTGATTATGACCGGTCCTGGTGAGATGGTCACGCACTGAGAGAGCAGAAGGTCAGAGACGTCAGGAAAACTTAACTCCTGTCAAACTATTTCTCCTTCCATGCATGGATGGCTCTCTGGATGAGATGGGGCATAAAGTTGCAGTCATCTGTACAATCAAATCAAGTCGTTTCTCCTCTAAGCCGAGATTAAAAATGTTCTCGGCACAGATCCAAAGTTTCGTGACCGTAGGTAGCCACTGGTAAAAACCTCCACTTTAAAGAGTGAAAAAACAGCATGCCTTGGTTTAGTCTTTAGGGTTGTTGCTCCAAAATTCTGCATTTGAGTTTATATTTATGTTGTTGGCCCCAAACAATCAGTAAAGCCTATTTTTACTTGGCAAGCTGCATGCACTGAATATCATGCTGGCATCTGTTTTTTTTGTTTGTTTTTTTTGTACAAGAGGGCCATTGTAAGTAAGAGCCAGATGGTAAATTTCCTTCTTCAGTGATCAGGATGAGCAAACACCTGCTGAAGCTAACATCCTCCCCTTGACTGCATAGACAAATAGGAAAGGAGAGCAGTGGAGGAAATAAGATGATTTGAATAAAATGAGATGGAATAAGATTAGGCAGAGTCAGAAATGTAAATGAAATGCAGACAGAAAAAGCTCATTTGGTGTTGATGTGTACCGTCTGCATCCTTGGCTCTTAACTGCTGCTGAGAATTTTCTTTTACATCTGAATAAAAATCAAGCAATGAAACAAGACAAACATTGTATTTGAACCTTGTTTAGAAGTATATAGGTAGATGAAAGTTAAAAAAAAAGTTACATCCATGTGAGAAACTAGAGATCAAAGCTAGCTTGTGTCATTAACATTTTAAACGTGAGCAAAATGAATCGCATGGGTCGAGTTGACCTTACACCAGTGCTGCGCAGAGAAAGAGGTCAACTCAGCAGATGGTAAAGTGATTGACCAGCACTCTGCTCCCACTGCTGGCAGAGGCACCAACTCAGCAGGCGACACACACACACACACACACACACACACACTCACACACACACACACACACACACACACACACACACACACACCAAACCAACCTTTTCTTTTGTCAACAGAAACCAGCCTGCAGTGAAGCGAGAGATGCCTGTTAAGTTGCTTCTGGTAAAACGGCTGAGAAAACCTCTTCATACAGCTGACTCACAAGAAACACCATCAGTAGAAATAAAACCTGCAGACAAGTGTCTCATTGTGTGTTCCTCTTTTTGTTTTATTAACAGGCCTATCTGATTGGCTGCGTATGGAACTGCTACAGATATGTGAGCGGCAGAGGCACCACAGAAGTTCTGGTTTATGTCACCACGAATGACACCACGGTGAGCCCTTCATTTATCACTCCAACAACACACTGACAATCCTGCCAACAATAAAATTATAAATATGTTTGCACAGTGATGGATAATACTCATCTCAGAAGATTTTGTTGCATAAACTTTAATACAGGAATTCTTATAATAAAATAAAATTCTGTTCTGGTCTCAAAGTGAGGTTTTATTTTGCTTTGACAAAGTCTCACTTTATTGTTGCACATTTTTAAGTACTCTGAGTTAATGCGATAAAATGCTCAGAGGAAGGTTGGAAAATATTTAGAACAATAGTTGTCTTTCAAATGTAAAAGCAACATTTAGTAGATGCATTAGAAGACCTGTCGCGATAAACAATAAATCAATTAATCGCATAATAAATGAAAATTATTAACCTAATTCTCATTTATCGTTTCTTTGTCTCTCTCTCTTTTTACTGAAGACACTGGATGACAAAAGGCTCAACTCCAGCGCTCTTCACTGACCCCTCCCTTTCTCCTTTCTCTTTAAAATCTGTTTTAACCGTCCATAATCACATTTTTGAATCATTTAAAGCAGCTAAGCTGAGAAGCTAAGCTAACAGGCCGACCTCCTGAAAAAACCTCCGTCTTGTCGAAGCCCCAAAATTCACAGTTGAAACCCGTGCCTTCGTGTAAAAAGTTGTTTTTCTCTGCAAAAAGAAGTTGAGAACTTGTTGACTGATGTTTTATTAAAAGCTTTGTGTGGAAAAATGCTATGCTAAAGAGCTCAAACCACACCGAGCATTCGCCATTTTGAGAACTGGAAAAAAGGAAGGAGAGACAGCCCATGTCATGTCAAGGGGCCTCCCTCCCATTTTTCTTAAAGAAACACGCTGCTCACTCCCTCACTATCCATCCTTCAGTTCAAACAGTCTTATACTGCTATACAGTGATCAAAAATGATACTACACTCAAAACAAAATCAGCATTTTTCAATAATTAGTAATTATTGTCAAATTTCAAACAATATTATCGTTTATTGCAATAATTTCAGAGACAATTAATCGCCCAGCAAAATTTGTTATTGTGACAGGCCTACGCATTACTATTATTATTAATTAAATATAGATGAAATATAAACTGTTTTAAAACAGGAAAATGGTTGAGTGAACAGAACTTTCTGCATCTTTAAAATTAATTGTAAGAAAAAGACAATTTCAAACTGGATAATTTTCCAAGAATTAAAAAAACAGAACTGGGTATTCAAACTATTTCTATGCTAATAAATGCTATATTTTCTAATACAAACAGAAACTTATGTGTCCAAATAACTGATTATTTATATATATATTGACACAAATCAATGTAGGTTTCCATTTCGTGGCTCTGACTCGTTGGGGCGGGGGGATAGCATGGGATCTTTTACACCAGGACCTTTGGTTCCCAATCATGATGATTCTCCAAGACTTTGGAGACCACATTCAAATGACTTGTTTTGTTTTAATCTTTCATCTGTTTTTAATGAAAATGCATTTCGTTGCGCATTAATTCCAGCTGAACAACTTTTTTTCCTGTCGGTCTAAAATAGTTTTGCTGCAGCTGTGAATGTAGTGTGGTGTAAAATGTACAGTGGAGACGTTTAGGGTTCTGGTGCCATGCTGCAGGTCGTTCTGAGGCGTGACTGGAGGACTAAACAGGTGCTTCTAAGAGGTTTTAGCACAGTCATAGTTTCCGTGTGTCAGTCTCGTTCCTAATCCACCTTCCTGATAGATAAGACATTAATCTGTGTCACACCCGCTGTCAACTGTGTACGCAGCACTTTATCTGTCACTTTGTCCTTGTGCTGGAGTGGATATGACTGTTTTCACTTTAATAAACAAGCCTCAGCAGCCAGCAGCTAATCCAGCAGGCTCTGATGTCACACTGTGCATCATATGGCCTTTCAGCAGATGTTGGATAGAAGCCATTTATTTGTCCTTCTGATATTAAAAAAAGAGAAAGGAAAAAAACAAGTTGGGAGTTTGAAGCTGCTGAATTACGCTGACTGAAAGAGCTCAAATTCCAAACTAAACATGTGCAAACACACAAAATATAAGTTTATACAAATGCACCTTAAATGACAAGAACACTAAAGTGTTTCTGGAGACGCACTGAAATTTAGATGGATGTGCTGGTGTGTCTATGTGAGGTAAAAACAAACACAATAAGAATATATTGCACATTTAAAGTTAATTTAAAGCAACAGAAAAGTTGTTTTAATTTATTTTGTTGCTAACTTTAATGATAAATAAGGCACAAGCGTTACAAATAAATAGCACATATGTCTTAATATTTACAGTACTTTTCTTCTGTTTGTAAATGAATTTGTTTACTTGGTGTTTACATGTTTATTTGCACATCCTTGATCTTTCTACTCCCGTACAAACACAAGTGAAGGCAATTAACAAAACATTAAGTGCATTTAAAAAAATTACTTCTTCCACTTGATTTTAGCCTTATATGCAAAATAGAAGGAGCTGTGACTAAAATAGTGATTTATTCTGTACACAAACTCAGTTTTAACCTAAACAACTGGAGTAAATAATACAGTTTTTAAATTCTTAGTTTTTATTTCTAGTTGCTTTAACTGCCTAATTCTGAACAAGATGATGTCAATAAGAAAACGAAGGGGAAACTGAAAGTCAAAGTGAAACCCAGAGCTCCGGCTGTCTGAATTTCAATCGGAGAAGCATGAAAGGACCAGTTGTTCAGATATCTTTGGTGGATAAACGGGTTAAAAAAATCTCTCACATTGGACTGAAAAACATGGAAACCTGGTTTTATTACTGCATCAACAGTAAATGGAGCACTTCGTCTATTTTTACTCGTAAAACGCAGGCACTGAGTCTAAATGGCTTCTTCCTGCCTCAAACATTGAGTACCCAGCTGCTTATCTTTTGTGCTTTTCTATAAATGCCATTAAAATGCACAACGGTCACCCCTCTCTCTTTCCCCCACTCCCTCCTCCTCTTCCTCCACATCTCTCTGCGTCCTCCCTTCTTCTGGAAACGTTACGTAACCGCTTCGTTTCAAATCCCATCTGCGATGTGTTCTCGGGGCCTCTCTGGCCGCTTCACGATTCCATCCCCTCCAAACATCTTCCCTCGCTCGGTGACTTAGCAGCAGTGCTGGTTTCATAACACCGTTTATAGAAAAAGACCTCTGACAGACGGAGCACACGCTGGCCTGCGTGGCAAACAATGTGTTCCTTTTAAAAGAAAGAAGGAAAGTCCCGTCCAAAACCACCCATTTATTACAGCGATGAAGTTTAGTTTAAATCGCATGAACTTTTCCAATTTAAACTAGAGAAACTGCATCTCCTGCAAAAATGCAGTGAATGCTTATTGCAGCAGAAGTTGCTGAAAAACAGCTGAGATTAGCTAAAACATTCTGAAATGTAGCTGAAATGGAAGAACAAGCATAAGTAAGCAGAAGCAACACATTTGCTGAATTTGGTTTAAATAAGTAGAAATGTGCGCACACATATTGGTAAATTAGCTGAAAAAGCTGAGATTAGCAAAAGAAGCAGTTGAAAAGTAGCTAAAAAGTCAGAAAGAAGCTTAAATTACCAGAAGGAAGTGGAGAGAGCACAATTGTGCCCAATTAGGCTTAAAGAAGCAGAAATGAGCACAAAAAAGTAGAAATTGTTTGAAAAAAGGCAGAAAGTTGCAAGAAACAGCTGAATAGTAGCTTAAGAGAAGAAAAAAAAGCCCAAATTACCAGAAGGAAGTGGAAAAAGCACAGTTGTGCCCAATTAGGCTTAAAGAAGCAGAAATTAGCATAAAAAGGTGGAAATTATCTAAAAAAGGCAGAAATTTGCACCAACCCCGCTCCCCCCCCCCCCCACACACAGCTGAATAGTAGCTAAAAAAGCAGAAAGAAGCTTAAATTACCTGAATGAAGTGGAGAGAGCACATTTTTGCTGAATGAGGCTGAAAAAAGTTTAAATGAGTGCAAAAATGTGGAATTATCTGAAAAGGCTAAAATTCGCAAAAAACTGCTAAATAGTAGCAGAAATAGCCGAAACTTGCAGAAATAAGATGAAAGGAACATTGCAAGCTGAACTTAGCCGAAAGAAGTTAGAAGAAGCACAAACATGTTGTAGTTAGCAAAATCAGAAAGGATCACAAAACAGCAAAAAAAACAACTTCTGAAATTAGCTGAAAGTAGTTGATTTTTTATATATATATATTTGCACAAGGATGCTGAGCGAAGCTTTAAAGTAATAAAATGTGAAAGGAGCAGTAAAAGGTTGTAAACAGATCTAAGTATCTGAAGGATGTAAAATGAGCTCAATTCATTTTCTCTGAGGGAAAAATGTCAGAAAAGGCTAAATATTTAAAAAAGCTAAAGGTGTACCAATATCAAAAGTTATAACAGGATTGTCCTGAAAGAGCTGAATGTTTTGACATATGATTTGTTGAAATAGAACAAAAATTGTGGAACGAGAACGATCCCGAAAAACGTACAAAGTAGATAGACGGAAGAATAATAAATATAAACAGGATCACAACAGTGTGAATGCTTAATAAGAGACTCGGGGAGAACAGCAACACGATTTGTTAAAGATGAACATTTTTCTGCTGCTTTCAATACATAATCTTGCCAAAATTGATTAGTTTTAAAGTTTTTAATCAGCAGTAGGCAACCACAAGAAAAATCTGTTTAAGGTCAACACGGATGCATTTTGTTAAGAACAAATCGGTACCTTACAAATATTACTTTAGACAAAACGTATAAAGATGAGGAATATGTTTACATGAAAATATGGAACAAAAACCAGTTTAAAACCTGTAAACTAAAACAGGCGGACAGATGCTGCTCTGCAAGGTTGTATGAAAATAAAAACTCAGAGGAAAACGGGCTTTTGAATATTTATTTAGTTTTTTTTCAGAAGAGAGAACATGAACGTTTCACTTTCGAGCTGCTGTCTCTGCTTCCATCATTCTCCCTGACCCCGTTTACTTCCATGGATTATTTTATCAAACTAATATCTGTCGCACCCGGAGACCGCCCAAAATGAACCCACCAACTTCAAGTGTAAACAAGCGACTCGTAATTGTTGGCAACAAAATGTGATTCTGCTTTCATTAGAGAATGATGCGTATTTATTTATCGTCACCGGTAATACACATTGAATCAAAAACGCATGTTGTGGCTTCATCGTGCATTTTTGGAGACAATTTTCACTTCACACATTTCTAAGACTAAATGTTTTTATTGACTTCATGTGATCAAAGCATTTTAATCATTGTACGTCAAAAAAACAAAAAAGCTGACACTAGTGAAAATGAAGATTGTTTTTGAGCTCACTGCGCCGTTTGTTGCAGGTTCTGCTGCCGCCTTACGAGGAAGTCGTTGCCATCCCACCGAAGGAGCCCCCTCCTCAGTACATGGAGGCGTGAGACGCCCAAAACGATGGATTATTTGCACCAACGCTGGCTGCGGTGTGAAAAACAAGACAATCTTTTAGATGCTGGTTCCTGCCAACTTTATTTTAGATTAATTCAACCCTGAAGCAGCAACTCAGGGTTGTTGTGATGTACTGTCCCTCGTCTCTGTCCTCGTCCAAGGACAAAGGCCCCCGTCACCATCAGCCCTCCCTCAGGGCTCTGCTGTTCGCCCTGATAGCGCTGACCCAATTCAATGTGAACTTTTTAGTTTTTAGTTAAAAGTGCAACTGTTAACCCTCCCCCCTCTCTAATACTGTGAATTATCCTGGTGGTCTTAATCCAGACCACCTAAACAAGGGAGAGCGTGAAAGGGAAAGGCAGATGTGACCGAGGATAGCACTTTGTAAAAATAGTTGAAGTTCCTTCGCTGAATGTAAAGTCAGGGTATTTTTCTATGAACTTTTTTTTTTAAAAAGGAGAAAACCATGAGAATCGAAAAGCTGTGCTCGCTGTGAGAGATTAACTCGTCACTCACCTTTTCTGAAGTTAATGGAAGAAAAACAATCAATAATAGAATTTTGTAAATTTCAATCTGTAGATGTAATCCGTCATTTGTCAGTGAGACCCCTCAATAATCCGTTCATTCGTTTTCCTTCCTGTATTGTTTACATTTTATACAATTATTAACAATCACGCTCATCACTAAATGGTGAAAATGTTCCGAGTCCCCGTTGACCTGCAGCTGCATCCTGTCTATTTTTGACGCTCTTAATGTAAAAAAGTCATCTTTAGTCAAAGTGAAGCTGACTTGGCTGGACTGAGGGCATTTTCCTATAAAGACTGCGTGACGTGCTGCGTCCGTTTTTGTTCTGCGTACAATGAGACTTTGCTCTTTAGGTGACGTCGTAGAACGTTAATGTGGCCAAGTGCTCATCCTCCACCTGGACTGTTGTGACCAATAAAACAAATGACTTAATCTAGTAATTATGTCAGTGTCGCAGACTATGCAAGCAGCTCGTAAATCCTGGATACGCTAGTTTTTATTGGTTCTTCTGTGTTCTCGTTTAGTCTTTGAATACCCTTTGGATGGTAGAAGCTTGTTAAACACCATGAATCAGTGTTTGTGTGTGAAAGATGCACTTTCATGTGACTGAAGGATTTTGAAGGTTTATACATCGTTTTGTTGTTGGATCTGCATGAGCTCATGTGCTCAGTTACGAATAAAAAAGCATAATCAAGCACTTGCTCGTTTATTGAGAAATTAATTCAACTGTTGTATAACTTTTTCACCTTTCTGTGTGATGAATCCATTTTTTTCAAATGTGTTAAAGGTGTTATGTTATCCTGTTGGAACCAAGTGTATCTGCTCAATATAAACATCTGATTCAGCTGTTTAGGACTTTATTTTTCCAACACAAAAGCATCATGTTTGAACAGTGTTCTCGTCGTCATGGTCATCTTTTCCAAAACCGCTTCAAAAAACATATCAACTCAGAAAACTTAGTTTGTTTCTCTCAAAGCTTTAATTTTCCTTCTTGAACATCTGTGCTGATGAAAACTTGAGCAAGAACCAACAATCTCTGTGTGACAGCAGGATATGCACCTACTTTCTGCTGAGGGAGAAAAGTGGGACACGTTCATATCAACTTCAAAGAATCTTATAAAAGAAACGGGAAGGATCAAAATGTTTGACTCTAAAACATTAAATCCTAAATACTAAAAATAAACCGTGCGTTTAAAATCAAATTTTGCTCAGAAAATTAAAAAAATAGTTTTAACTAAATGGGTCATGTGAAATTTTTTAATCCAATGTGTTAAAATTAGGACAACTTGGGAGTGTAATTTAGCAGACAGCACATCTGGTACCACAACTGGCTTTACTTCTATTTATGGATCAGATGTTCATTGTTTCCATTTGTCGTTGCCTCTTTAGTGTGCCCTCATTTCATACCAGGATCCCGCTGCACGTGACTCACCAGATTTGATTCAGAATCCATTAAAACGGGTCAAACTGCTCCATAGACGATGGGACTTGAGCTACATTTGATGCTTTGCAGAACTTCTCGTTGAATAGTGCTCATTTTTGGGACACTAGTCAGATTAATGCTTTTGATATGAGCGTTTGTTCAGATGCAAAGAACTATACCTTAAATTGAGTTTACACTGGCTTTGGAACAAAAAGTGGTGACTGAGTGTATAAATCTTTACAACTCAGCAACTTGTAAACGAGTCCTCGAGGCTCGGTGGGATTAAGGCTGAATGAAAAAATGTTTATCAGACGGACAATTCAGCTTAAAAAAAAAAATTAGTTTCAGCTGCAGATTGGTGGTTAAACGAGGACTTCTGTGGAGTAATAGAGCTGCAGAAGCCCAAGGCAAATCAACCATATTAATCCACGCGGGCAGCACAGTGGCTCAGTTGGTAGAGCCGTTACCCTCAGTGAGGTCGTCAGATCGAATCCTGGCCAGGGGCCTTTCTGTGTGGAGTTTGCATGTTCTCTACATGCATGTGTAGGTTTTCTGCAGGTACTCTGGTTTCCTCCCACAGACAAGTGTCCCTGTGATAGACTTATCAAGCGAGGGACTATGAAGTTCTCTTTGAGATATGTGCAGACTTGATACGGATTTAAAAAATAAAAAAAACCACAACTGCATTATTCTTTTTTTATTTATCACAATGTGGGTGGGGGAACAGTTTTACTGAGCCTGCTGCTGCTGATCTGGCATGCTCCTGATGATGTCAGAATCGCCTGAAGAAACAAAGGATGAGCAAAGTCAGTGAAAAAAAGTCACCTTGTATACTGCTCTAATACAAAAGAAAAAGTAGTGCTACTATTTTAAAACTTCATAACAAAAACAATGTTAAATGTAAATGTTACAGCAAAGACATATGAACAGCACTGGCAGTTCAGCAAAGTGCTCCAACAGCTTAATTCTAGTGAACCGCCAGTCCTGAACTGGATCACTTTGAGCAGGTTCAACAGGCACTAAATTCACACAAAGCACACTAAAAATACTTAAAAGCCTTCACAGTTAACCATGATCAGTCTGTGAGCTCATGTAAATTCAGACATTGCTATGACATGTTGAGCCGAGTCTGTCTGTTTGTCCCGAGTAAGGATGAACGGGTCTGAGGACACTACACGTCCACGGACCTGCTCACTAGTATCAGCTCTTTTGTCAACAAAAAAGTACAATAACCTGAACCAATCACAAACATAAATTTGTTTCATATCTTTTTAAAACTCATTTAAGCTCAAGAACGAGTCATAAATCTCCCTAGTTGACCTATGAACACCGTGAAATTTAAATCAGCTGCACAGAACAAGCTTCTGTTCATTTGCATGGTACAGCAGAGAGAACATGGGTGCTCACCAGGATCAATGATGGCCAGTGTGCACACCCTGTAGTACTTGCCACAGGCTGTACCCAGCTCAATGTTGTTTCCACTGTAATGGTGGACACCGGTCTTGGCCAGCATAGCGTAGTACTCAATCTCAGATTTCCTGGATAGGAGAGAGACAAAATGCAACGTGTGAGTCAAAGCAGATGGCCTTTGTTACGGGGAACATTAAAAACAACTGTCAGGTAATGGTGCATCAAAAACCTGAGTTTAACAAAATAAGGAGAAAAAGACATGGTTCATGTTTTATTTTAAGTAGAGTAGTGGTGTGTAGTGTCTTATTCACTGCAGATACCAGTTCTGTGAACCAGAAATAATTGTCAGACATTAAGTAACCAAGTTAGGGGTGCACGGATTGCAGTTTTCTGGCCAATCATCAGTAAAAAGCCTGACCTACCGATTCTGATTTTGTTTTATAAACGACACTGTCAGGTGTTATAAGGTCACAATGCACCTTCATTTTTCCAATATTACTTTATTGAAAAACATACCCTTGAACAATATCCTAGAAACAATACAAACTGGTTTTAACTGGCCATGAGGTAGTGCTCTGAAATATAAATGAAGTTTAGATAATTGTTAAAAGTAAAAAAAAAAAAAAATTTTAATCTGTAAAATCGGTTTTTCATTTAAGTATCGTCAGATTTCCCAAAATTAAGGAAATTGGGGCCGATAAATCAGCTGGCCGATTTATCGGTGCACCCCTAAACCAAGTGCTCATAACTTGGACAGTTGAAGGGTGAAATTGTTCAGCAACTAAACCACCTGAAAAAACTTGACAAATATAAAGAACATTGATGATCCCCCCCCATCCTTAGATAAATAACTTTGCTAATTGGCATTTATAATGTATGTGAATGTTTTTGTTCAGTGCCTTGAGATAACTTCTGCTGTGACTTGATGGTATTTAAACAAACTGAATTGAATATGAATCAAGAGTACCGGTATTTACGCAAAATTCAATAATGAAGAGTGGTCCACATTCATACACAGACTATTTGACACGGGTCTAGTATGTATAACTAGTATAAAAATAAAAGCTCTGTTAAGGATGCTACAAACATGCAGGTAAAAATGTGATATTTTTATTTATTTTTTAACCTTTATTTAACCAGGCAAATCCCACTGAGATCACAGATCTCTTTTGCAAGGGAGGCCTGGGCCTGAAGGCAGCCTAACATGCATGGTTTTTAATCAATAAGCATGCATAACTAGAAACGTATAAACTCATTTGAGTCCAATTATTAACAAATGTGTAGTATAAATCTGTGAGAATACAACTTACAAAGTTCAATTAAAAAACATTATACAACATTCAAATTTGCATTATAAGTTGTTGCTTTTTATATTAATGCATAATTGTGTAGTCGTGAATACAAAATAATTTAAGAATGTGACTTTATATGAATTTAAAACAGACTCAATAATAGAGTGCAGGATGCATTGATAACAGTAGCACGCTTTTAACTTAATAGATCCAAGATAACAATGAAAAAAAAGACAACAGTTTATATAGATACCTTAATAAAATGCAATAACTATGTAGTAATTATAATAATTGGCATATTACATTGAAGACCGCATGTGCAACTGCTGATATCGATGCATTTTGTGCCATCTTTAAGGTTGTAAATACATGTCCTTTCCTATTAAAAAAATGCCCCAAGAACAAAAAGAATCAAGTAACTGAGGACAAAAACATGTTCATAGTGTGGAGATTTTTTAAGATAAACATAGGTGATGGTAGAATAGCAGACTGTTTGGTGTGTTCCTAATAAAAGAAATATGTTTCTAAAGTCTTGGTCTAATATTTATGTACTCATTAACTACTCGGAGTACTCAGTATTGGCAAGTACTCAAACTTGAGTATTTGTACTTAGTCTGAAAGCAAATGGTATCGGGACACAGCTTTTATCTGTAAAAGTGTGATTTTTTTAAAATAGCGTCATTCCAGCAGCGGTGGCTTGAGTGGTTAGAGCAGTTGTCCTCAATGCGAAATTGGGGGTTCGAATCCACCAGTAGTCACATGTCGAGGTGTCCCTGGGCAAGACACTAAACCCATCATTGCCTCCAATGTGTGACCATTGGTGTATGAATGTGATAAAGCACGGATTAATGTCTTTTTAGAATGATTTGTTCAACTAGCTTTGTAGAAATCTAGTAGAGTGCTGTATGAATGGGCAAATGAGGGCACAGATTGTAGTGTAAAGCGCTTTGAGTGTCTTGATAAGATAGAAAGGCGTTACATAAGTACAGTCCATTTACCATAATCTGCTATTTCAGGAAAGTATTAAGTCCTCTGAAGGCAAAGTCATCACAGCTGAAACAGCACTAACCTACAACACTGATGTCACTAAGCTTTAGCATCACTGTAAGTGATTTAAATCACACCCAACCAAATCTGATTAAACCAGAAAGCATCATTATAGGAGCAAATTTTTTGAATGCACCGTCATAAACAACTGTTCCATCCTGAAAATGGATGTGGACAATCTGATACTCCTTTAGAAAAAGAATCAAACTAGACTTGTGTGCATTTTACTCTGCCCCTGTGTTTTAAAGTTTATTTTATTAAAACCTATACCTGTTAGGAATAAGTTTTACTAAAGTTTATATTTATTCAATTCAAAAAGTTGACTTTAAGCTCTAAACATGTGGGAAGACCTAATAAACAAGGATACAGTAGAAATAAGGCTTTTAACAGGATATTAGGTTAAAAACATTGCTTGTTAATGCAATATTAGCTCTGGTTTTAACGTTATTCACTGCAGATGTGTTGACATACCTGAGGGCAGGGCAGTTGTTGGCCAGGATAACCAGCTTGGCTTTTCCCTGACGGATCATCTTCTGGGACTGCTTGTAGCCCAAGACGTACTTCCCGCTTTTCATCACCAGTTGGAGACGAGAGTTTATAGACTCCATGGACTTTTTCTGAACAAAAAAAATCCAAAAATTAAGCAATGGCAGAAAAGCAATTACAAACCAACCCGAAAATTGCAAAAAATAAAAATGACAGCACAAACGGATGTAATGATTAGCTCTTGTGTGCTTCAACATACACTGCCGATACCTTTCTACGTTCTTGGCATTTTCCTCATTTTAGCATTAGCTTCCAAGCCGGTTTGAACGGTTTTAAAAGCTTAAAACACAAGTTAGCGTCACCATACCTGATAGACACGACTAAACAACACATAACGCGAGTATAGAGTATCTAAAGTAGACAAAAATTTCAACACAGCTACATTTATAGTGAATTAGCTGCAACATTTCAGCTACAATGCTAGCAGGCCCCGACAGAAACAAATCTCCATGTGAGGGTGCCGTTTGGTCCAGCCGCAGCGCGTGCGCTCCGGCACGAGCTAACTTCACTCACCGTCTTCTTAGCGGCCACCATGTTTGCGGTTTAGTCCGAACAGGCCAACCTAGCAAGAAAAGAGCGACAGGAGAAGGCTATAGTTAAGCTCTGACATGTGACAAATGTCCAGAAAAATAACAATTTTATGTCATAAAACTCAGAGCTCGTCTTACTGTGAGCTAACTCCAATATGGCCTCGGAGAGAAAGGAAGTCCCATGGTGCATCGCGGTGGTATCTGTCTCTAAACCTGCGCGAAGCTATTGCGCAGAACGAAAAAGGAGGAATTACCTCATTTCATCTAAAGCTGATTTACTGGGGCATGGAATAAAGCTTTACAGAGCCTAAATGTGAATAATCCGAGATACTAGGATAAGATAAATGTTAGTACAACCATCTTTTTTCCCCCCATAAAATGGCTCAGGTATAGAAATCCTTTAGCTACAGGAGCACAAAAAATATAAACTCTTGTATTTCTTCATTAATGTTTCTTTTTCATTCAACCTTTATTTATACAGGCTAGTCTCATTGAGTCACGAGGACTCATTTACAAGAGGGACCTGTTCCAGACAGAACATATAAAGTACAGACAACAAACGATGACAACAATGAACTAGAGTAAAATTGCAGTTAAAATAAGAGTAGTGTATAAAACAATAAATCGGGGAGCCGTAAAACAGGGTGAAATACTAAAAACAAGAACATATTTGCTTTCACTTTTCTATTGACATTATCAAATGTTTGAAACTCCTGAAATAAATCAAGGTGGACAGCTTCAGTTCTTGTTGCAAAGTGTTCCAGGTTGCAGGAGCAAAGAAAAGGCCTTTTTGCCAAGTTCAGTCTGTACTGAGGGAACGCTGCAGGTAATGATGTCCTGAGAGCGCATGTTGTAACTGCACTGACGGTGTGACATGTGGGAGGAGATTTAAGAAAGTAGTAGACCAAGGAGGGATTTATAGATGAAAATGAACCAGCGTTAGAGCCTACGTGTAGATAATGATGACCGACCAATGAGTACAGAGTGCAGTGATGGGTACGGTAGTTACAACCAGTTATGAATCTTAGCACGCCATGGCAGCATCCAATATCTGCAAGGAGCTGGCAGGGGCATTCAGGTAAATAGTGTCACCATAGTCAATGGCCGGTATAGCGGTTATAAGGCATTTTCTGGCATTCAGAGATAAACAGGATCTACCTCTGAAAAAGAAAACCCGTTTTAATTTCAGTTTCTTTATCAGGTTTTCAATATGTGGTTTAAAAGAGAGATGTGCATCGACCAAAATTCCCAAATATTTGTAAGAATCTACAAACTCAATAGGAACACTGTGCATGGATTGAGATAGGAGGAAGAGTTGCTGGCACCGACTTTCTGTTGGAAAACAACATCCCTTTGGTTGTGTCAGCATTTAGCACCAGCTTGAATCTGGCTGAATGATGTTTCTAACACAGATTCAGATTATCATACAGTTCTAAAGTAGTTTATCATAATTACTACTGTACTAATGTTACTAATACAAATACCAATATATGCTAATGTTACAAAACAAAAATCCAAAATTATAAATGACTTTGTCACAAAGGCTGAGCAAAAAGCCAGTAAAGATGCAAAATAAATCTGAGCATTAAACAAGTCTAAACATAAAATACCTAAATCAATAGAGCCTATTTAAAATTATATGAATCTAATAAAATCAGGAATAATTAAAGATCCTTCATAACTGTTTTTTTAGGAAGTGATGCAAAACATTTCACCAGTCTAGCCTCATCCCTTTAGGAAGCTCCAAAACAAGAGATTTAATTAAAGGACACCCCCCCCCCCCACACACACACACACACACACATTTAGGCAAAAAGCATTACCACATTATATGCAAATGTGGCAGGTGATAATAGAAATACCCAAACAAAAAAACTAAACAAATCGTATATGCATACATTTTATATACAGTTTGTTCTCTATATAATCTTGCAATTTTGGTTGAGTTTCACTGAAGAACTCTTTTAGGGGCTCTAACATGCAACATAACTTTCAAGAGGTGCCACCAGCCGAATAATGCACATTTGTCCCAGAAACAGCCTCATAAAAACAGTTACAAAACATAAAAAATAAACAAAAAAAGTTACATGCACTAATTACTTGGACCCTCCCATCCATTATAGCAAAAGAAAACCTATTGGAGGAGTATGCGTAATAACGCACGGCACTATAGGAATTTCACCTCTCTCTCTCTCTTTCTCTCTCTCTCTTCTCTTTCTCTCTCTCTCTTTCTCTCTCTCTCTCTCTTTCTCTCTCTCTCTTTCTCTCTCTCTCTCTCTTTCTCTCTCTCTCTTTCTCTCTCTCTCTCT